ACCTCATTTCTTATCCAACAGATTTCTCTGTTTTAAAATGGATCAATGGAGCTGGCGAGACAGCCCACAGCTGGACCTGATCACCAATCTCTAACCTGCCTCCCATAAGCTCCATTATTAATCATAATAACTGCTTTACAAGCCTTAACATAAACACCTTTCTGACAGCCTGGTGGGAATTAAAAAAATAACAAAATCTAAAAATCTAAACTAACATCCATTTGGAGCGGTCCAGATGTCTGCGAGAAAAAGAGCAGCTGAATTTTGAGCTAACTGCAGTTTATGGAGAGATTTGACCATGGAGAAGAATTACAGTAATCTAAAGGAGATGTGACGAGAGCATTGACAGGCATGGCGGTGCTGTTTGGAGTAAGTGAAGGATGAAGGCGGTTGGTATTACGAAAATGAAAATAAGAAGACTGAGTGATGTGATTTATATGTGCTGTGAAGGATGACACCCAGACTCTTAAAAACTGTCAGAACTTTAGTTATGAGTAAATCAAACCTTGATTTCACTTAATCAGAAATGGATGTGGGTTTGGAAGAGAAGTAGAGCTGGGCATCATCTGTGCAGCAGTGAAACTGGATGTTATATTTCTTGAAAATATTACCTAGAGGTAGGAGAAATAATAAAAAGCAAAGGCCCCAGGAGAGAGCCTTGGGGTACACCAGAGTTAACTGGTGTAGACAGTGAAAAGATCATTTGAGGTGTTTCTGTACTATGAAATGAATGAAGCCAGATTCAAATTGTTCATACAAGTTATGTCCAGAGGGCGTCTATGAACCTGTGTAGCCACTCCTTTTTTTTTTTTACCTAAAACCTTCGATTCGTTCAGAAAGCTCTCAATGCTCCCCCCAGCAAGCTACCGGCTTCAGTGTCTATAACCCAGTGTGAGCTCTCAGGTGTTTTAAGTCTTCCCATGATGATCTAAGTGTGCTGCAGGTGCTTTCAGTTACTGTAGTCCTGTTCTTTGGCACAAGCTTCCTGCTGAGCTGAGGTGTGCATTTCAAAAACAGACTCAAACCTTTGTGTTCTCACAGTAGCTGTCTGTGTGTGTGCGCATTTGTAAACTTACACCTTTTCTTGTCTTCATTGTAAACATATATAGGTTTTTATGTTTGCTGTTAGGAACGTGGATTTTGAATGTGATGAAATGTGCTATTTAAACAAACTTGCTATCGCCACTGAACTGCTTAATTCATCAAACGAAGGATTTCTCTGTGTTAAAAATGAATTAACAATTAACATGCACACTGATAAAACTTTCAGTAGTGCTGCTTTTAGCCTGTGTGAAACAGACACAGTAACAGACTGTGTGTTTGCTGCCAGTGTAACAACTCGAGAGGCTCAGCCTTCACCTGGTAGTCAGCCAGAGATGACTTCCCATGATCCACGTCCACAGTGGGTTCAGTCAGCAGCTCCATCTTCTCTGACACAGCATTCAGCTGCTGGATGAGCAGCTCCAGGTGAGAACAGAAGACCTGGAACATACAGTACATTAGGGCTGCCACGATTAGTCGACTAGTCACGATTA